CACTTATTGCCTCTGTGAATTTGGGAGTTTCTTTAAACTCCCTTTTAGCCTCACTTTTCTTGTTTATAACAATATAATGTTTTCTCTAGCAATAATATGATCATTCTTGATGGGTAATGAGGACTAAAAACATATGTAAAATGTCTGGCTCCTGACCAATGCTGTGGCGGCCTGTCGCAATACATTTTAGTATGTTGACTATTTTCTTTCTCAGCCAATTTGCAACTGATACAACCTCTCTCCTTTGTGCTGTACTTCTGATAAGGTGTATCTAAGTGCCCTTGAGTTCTGTCAACACGTGTGAGAAAGATTAGAGGTGGTGACTTATCTACTCTAAAAGTGGCAAAAACTGGTAATAAGATTGCTCATAATCACTAGCAAAATTAATAAATTTCAGATCAAAGGGGAAACAATGTGTAGGCTCTACTCTTTAATCCACTCCTCAGTCCCTCAGTCCAGAAATCATCATCATCATCGCCATGATCATGTTCCGGGCTGAGGGTGGTTCCCGGACACAAATACAAAGAAGTCTGTAAGACCTGAGGGGCTCACAGCCCAGTTAACAGGAGGGTACATGCTGGTGTCTTGGTTGTGACTGGTTTCCCCTCTAGATTTCTTTTAGGGCCACTTCAGTGGAGAAGCCACAATTAGAACACATTGTGCATCATAATATGAACCAAACAATATCAATATCTAAGAATCACCCTAAAAGACTTTAACACATTGTAGATATAGCAATGTGACTGATTTTTGAATGCTATCAAATTTATTTTTAAATGATCAGGGTTTCATATTCAGTTTCATTTGAACAAAGAATGGTTTTTAAGTGTCTGTCTGGTTGACCAAAGTAAATTACTGAGAATTTCATATTCATTTGACATGAATAAGAATATGAAGTTACATACAAGATAAACTTAAAATAATTGAATGAGGGCGCCTGGGTGGCTCAGTGGGTTAAGCCTCTGCCTTCGGCTCAGGTCATGATCTCAGGGTTCTGGGATCGAGCCCCGCATCGGGCTCTCTGCTCAGCAAGGAGCCTGCTTCCCCCTCTCTCTCTGCCTGCTTCTCTGCCTACTTGTGATCTCTGTCAAATAAATACATAAAATATTTAAAAATAAAATAATTGAATGAATGGTTTTGATTATGTTCACCATACATCTTAAAAGGTGGATAATGAGCATCTTGAAAGAAATAGTGAACAAATGTGCATGGGGAAAGATTCTCTAATTATGCTGAGTGAGGATTACTTATGAAGTAATCTTGGGATAATTTAATCAGTGTTTTTATTCTTTTAACTTCAAAGTATTTTATCCTACATTTAGTCTAGAATAAAAGAGGCATGTGGTAGCTTTGATTTCACAACCTACGTAATATGAAGCATGAAATACAAGCAGCTACTTAAAGGAAGCATTTATGAAACACATTTTTGGTGAATCTGACTTTGACTTTGTAATCGAAATAAAAGTTTAAGCTCTTAACTGAAGAGGGGAGAAACAGACAGGAAAGACTACTGTGCTAGAGCACAAGAAGTCCCTGTTCAGCTTTGTGAGAGAATGAATTCTTCACACCAAGGTAACCCTTCGTTTTATATTTACTCAAGTTTGTTCACTGCCTGCTCTGCCCATAGTCAGTGTTGCAATTTGTTTACTGATCATGATGAACCAATTATTAGCCAAAAGGTTCTCAGTATTTTTTTTTTTTTAATGTAAAATGCTACGCATAAGCTTTGGGAAAGTGAAGTTACATAAAGACCCACTTCGGTTACCCACTAGGGTGCTCATTCCTGAGATCCTCATTTTTTAACAACTCATTTTTTTTTAAACAACCCTTTTCCTCTCCATTTAATTAACTTAGGGTGTACATCAGTGTACATTCAAAGACTAGGAGCCTTCTTTCAGAAGCTGTAATTTATTTAACGGGCAAAGTAGAATGCCGATGTTTTCTAAGGAAACGGATTCCACTGCATGGGGAGTGCAAGTCTCTCTTGAAGGGGAGTTCACATTTCTGACATTTATGAGAATTATTATATCAGCCACTACAGTTTGTTTTGGGTATTTATCATATACTCAAAGAAGTGCCAAAATATTCGGATTAAAAGTGAAACACCACTGCCCACATAAGCATTGGAATGTTTTGAAAAAATCCAAAACACTAAGTTTTCATATGGAGAATTTGGCAACACCAAATGTAAAAAAAATATCTGATGGAAAATGCATCCCATCTATCTGTCTGTCTATCATTTCTATTCTGAGTCGGATCACTAGCAGACAGCTAAATATTATAAAACTAATTTTGTGATAAAATACTCATAACGCAACTCACACATTTAAGTGACTACATAAAGCAAGTAAACAAATACTATTAAGATTCACTCTGAAGCAAACTTTTAAAGTTAATTGACCAAAACAGCTACAGAAATCGTACTGAAGAACAAAAGTTGCTCAACAGTGCATATTAGAAACAGTTCTGTGTGTTCAAGCTAGTTTCTGAAATTTTAGCCTCAAATTGAAACTCTTAGTGATAGAAAGTTTTTAAGGGATCAGGTATAGCTGCAGATATTTTATTTCCTGGTTTCAGAATATATTCCTATCAAACACATGCCTAAAGGAAATGTTCTTGTGAGCATTTTTGCAAATCGTGATTTGTCCGACCCATCAAATGGGTTACTCATCCCTGCCCTAAGTACTAGTGAGGTGTCTCCCAGTCACGCCTGGGGAGCGGTGCAAGTGCGAGTGGTTTGGCGACACTGAGCTACAACCTTGCTTTTGTATCAGGCACTGCCGATTTATGGATGAACGGCCAGTGTGAGACTTTCACTCTGAGTACTGTCTTTCCTGGCCAGAACTCAGATTTCCCACCATCAACGAACTAAAGCATAGCCAAGAATTCAAAAGGCAACACGACTTCTGGCCAACCAAAATAGATATTAAAAAACAATACCCACGAATGAAAGCTCAGGGTCTTTACCGATAGACAGTATCACAGACAATAATTTTCAATTCTGTTTCAAGTCTGCCTACTTAGACTGTACATAATTCTCCCATCCAAGTACTAACCAGGCCCGACCCTGCTTAGCTTCCGAGATCAGACGAGATCGGGCACGTTCAGGGTGGTATGGCCGTAGACTGTACATAATTCTAATATCCGTGGGTATCTGTAGAATCTCACAGTAGATTAGAAATCATGGCTTAGAAAGAGATTGGAGTTTTACTTCTCATCTTCTGTTTTAAAGAGTATGGGAAATATAACATATCTCCAAAGTGTTTAAAAAAAATCTTAGACATTGAAGAAGTAAATTCCAAACTCCCTGGAAAATATAATAATTCAAAATGACTCATTCCTCTGTGCTCTGGATAACTGAGGTTTTCTGTTCAATTTTAGTTCGTTTGGACATCTCAATTCTAAGAGAGAGTTTTATTTTGTTCAAGTACAAGTAAAATGATGCGGACTATCCAAGGCCAGGGACTTCCTTTAATCTAAGCTACTGAGAACAAATTTTAATGCAGTCACGATGACGAGCCACGAAATAACCACACCAACAGCAGGGAACACGGTCATGCATCAACCATGGGGCCAGAACTTGACACATATTATGACTGGTCCCGGCCATAACCTTCGATGGGAGGAATCGCTATGCCCATGTCACAGATGTAAAACTAAAGGCTAGTGGTAAAGAAAGTTGCCCCAAATTGCCCAAATTTAAAGCCAGGTCATTTCTGGCTCTGAAGTCAGCATTCTTTCCATGGCTGTCTTTCCCTTCTAACTGATGAAAATAGGTCAATCTTAAATAGATCGAGTTTGCCTCTCGTTTCCAAAATAAAATTTCACTTTCCCCACTAATCTGTATTTACCTTTCTCGGATTTAGGCAACTAGGGGCAATAATGAGGTGACCAGTGGAAGTGGTGGGAGCATCTTAAACAGTTGCTCACAGACAACTGGCTGGGGGGAGTGCAGGAACAAATAAACAGTAAAGAAAGGGGGATAATGTTGCAAGGTCCGTTCCCTATGCAAACAGCCCAGCTAGAATACAAAGTCCATGAACCTTACCTCCTCCCACATTTGAAATGGAACCTGGATGGGACATTTGGGGGTTCCTCCCTCCGGCATGACATTGCTGAATTCTCGATGTAGTTGTCTGGAAGCCTCATAAGTAGGTTAAATGGCTGTTTGTTATGCCACTGTATGATTTTAGGAATATAGGAGAGATTCCTGCACATTCTGCCTCATTCAGAGTCTTGCCAAATTGGCCCTTAAAGATGTCTGACATTTCAGTTAATGCTCATTGTTCTTCCTCAAGCCAAAGATTAAGGGCTGATGCAAATACTCCAGGGAAGGGTAGTTCATTAACCTATTATCAGTCCTGTATGTGTTAGTTGGAATGAATTCGACTACTAATTTACACAAGAAATAATAAATGTAAAACACACTGTGTAATCCACAAATTACCAGATAAGTAGGTGTGTTATCTGAACACACTTAAAAATTTTAATTGAGATGTAACATAATTTGAATACATTTTAACTGAAAAATCAACTTCACTATCACGTCTAATATCTGTTAAGTGTTCATTATATGCTAGGCCTTATCCAGAGATTTCATGACAACAAACCTATATGAGGTAGTATGATTCTTAGTCTCATTTTACAGACGAGAGAGAGATGAGGCACAGAGAGGTTAGGCAGCTTCTCAAAAGTCACACAGGTAATAAGTGTAAGCCAAGATTTGCACCGAGCAGTCTACTTCCAGAACCTGCACTGTAAACCACTTTCCTACTCAATTGCCCCCCTTCAAAGGTATGACGGCTGGAACATACGGGAGAAAGAAAATTTGTGAGTCATGAAAGGACTGAAGTTATTTAAAAGTGTTATTATACTAATACCTAGTACAATATGGCTACAATTTTCTGATATCAGCTCCTAAGAGAACTCTGCTGTGCTTCTTGTGGTCTGAACATCATCGTGATGGAAATAATCAGAGCAAGGTCATCAACAGTACTTACTGTCCCGTGGCTGATGTGGTCACTTCTGCCACCTTCATCTTTGTGACCTTTGCCGCCGTTGCCATCGTCATCGTCGAGATTTACTGAGGGCTTCCCATGTTCCAGGAATCCTATTTCAGACACTACCTGAACAGTCTCATTTTAATCCTCAAAGCAATCTTATGGGGTGGGTGTAACTCTTCACATTTTATACACGAAAGGACTGAAGCTCAGAGAGGTTATGCTCATAGACCAGAGGTGATGCATCTGGAATTTGAACGTACGTCTGCCTTCAAAGCGTAAGTTCTTACATTTCACTTCGTCTAAAATTGTGATAAGACTTCTACTGCCACCACCACCGCCGCCACCAAATACCACTTACGAAGCACGCTTTCTGTGTCAGGCCACCCGTGCCACACTAGTCCAACGCCACTGTTTCAAACTACAGTTCTTGGGCTACATCCAGCCAGCTGTCTGTTTTTGTAAATAAAGTTTTATCGGGACACAGCCACACTCATTCACTTGCACATTGTGATGGTGTTTGTATTGAAAGGAAGAGTTGAGCAGTTACAACAGAGATCCCAAAGCCAACATACTTACGACCTGGCTTCTCACAGAGAAGTCTGTGGACGCCCCCTGCTTTAACCCACTTTGAAATGTGCATGTATTGCTGTTCTCATTTACAAGTGAATGTGTTGGAATTCCGAAAGATTAGGCAATTTTCCCATCCAGCTGTTAAAGAGCAAGAACCTGGTAAACACCTGAGGTCCAAACGACTCTGGATTTTGTTCCTTTTCCCCCCTGAGACTTACAAAGGCAACAACTTCCATAGTCACCCCTTGAAGGAAAGGAGATTTCTCTAACACGAGGTTAACAATCTGGTTTTAAATGTCTGACACCTGTATTAGAGTTGTATGTTTTCCACTGCCAGAGGAATATTAAGTTACTCTTACCTTCTGAGAATTTACTGTATTTAATTCCTTGAGGATGGATGCTTACGGGCTTGTCTGCCTTATTCTTAAAGTGAACTTTCACGATGTCTCCAACTTCAGCATACAAGGTAGGCCCAAGAAGTCCTACAGAAACAAGGATTTATAATATATCTGTGTTCAGGAATACCAAAGACAGAGCTGCTAAGCATGGAGAGACACAGAACCGCATGAGAGATGGCTGTCACTCCCCCTTGGCCCTGAGGCTGGTCTGCTTGTCTTCCATCTAGAAGGGTTTGCCAGCCCCTTGTCTCGACAGTACATGCCGTCAGGACAGGACAAGAAGGCGGAAATGTTTGGCATGGGCTCAAAACAAGGAAGGAGAGAGAAGGAATAGTACTGATCTTGTCTACCCCATCCTGACCCCTGTCATTCCTTGCAGATTACTGTCTTTGGCCAAGAGAAGAAAGGTGTTCACTTTCAGTTGTGCAGGATGATTTGAGGGAAGGTGACTGGCTCCGTTAGATCTCCCTGAGGGGGGAATCTCAGAGACCTCAATAAAGTGAGGATAGGGGGGAAGTCACAGGGTACGCTGGTCCTGAGGTGAGTTCAGAGTCCCTGAGGCAGGAGTGGTGCGTCCAAAGAACAGAAAGGAAGAGTGCAGGCGGCGTGCGAGCAGATGAGGGAGGGGCGGGTCACGTGGGGCTTCACGGGCTTTGGTAAGGAATTTGGATTATCTTCTGAATGAAATGGAAAATTGCTAGGGCTCTGTGCCGCAGACAGACATGGTTTTAAAAGTTCATTCTGGGGGGAAAAAAAGGACCCCCTAGCTGCTGTGTGGAGAACAGTGTGCGTAGTGAAGGGACTGGAAACGGCAGCAGGTGGCACAGAGAAGCAACACGCGCGGCGGGTAGGTAGGGAGAAGACACTGGGTTCCAGATTCTGAAGGCAGAGCCGGCTGGATTTGCTGGTGGGCTGACGTGGCCTCTGAGAGAGGGAAGCCAAAGGTGACCCTGCGGTGTTTTATCTGAGCAACGGGGTAAACAACGTGACCAGTTACTTCAATGTGGGACACCGTGGGATGACAGATGAGACGGGCAGATATCAAGAGTGACGTCTCAAGTCCTACATGACAGGTGTGCTGAGTCCTGCAGCCACGAGGATAAATAAGACCCTGTCCCTGTCCTTGAAGAGCTTGCAAGCTCGTCTGGGGGCAAACGTATGGTAGGAGCCACCGCTGAGATGTGGGCAAAGTGCTATAGGTGTGGAGAGGATGAAGGGCCAGTTCTGTTTGAGGGGTTATGGGAGGAGGTGATATTTGAGTCGGGCTTCAGCAGAATCATAAATGAGAATTTCCCAAAATTAAATGTTTGTGACTTTTGCCATAGAAGTTGACTGCTCTCATTTTTCCCAGCCACCTGTAAACCATGTGCGGTTTGCTTCTCCCCAGCAGAGACCGCGGGAGCTTGAGGAGAAAGGGACAGCAGTCACGGAGTTCAACCAGCATTTGTTTGCAGGGCTGATGGTCACGTTAATCGGGCCCCCACTTACAGAACTGTAATGGTGACTAAAATAGATGCCTTCGCAGAGCTTACAAAAAAGTAGGAAGGACAGATTTTAACAAACCATCACACAAACGTTTAATTACAATCTGCAGAAAGTATTATGAGAGAAAAACACAGCTTACATGGAAGAGCATTTGACAGAGTGATCGTGTCCAATGTTGGAGAAAGGGAGGAGCTCGGGGTTGGACATGCTTCCTTGAGGAAGCAATGCTTTTAACTGAAGTCCAAAGGCCAAGAGGCAAAGGCATGGGCAGGGACATTTCAAGGAGTGGGATGAGCATGTGCCAAGGGCCTGTGGCACCAGAAAACTTGGCCTATTCAAAAACTGACAGATGGCCACAGTGAAGGTCAAGTTCAACAGGTAAGAGAGAGAGGCAGAACGTGAGGCTGAAGGCACGATCAGAAGCCCCATCATGTAGAGCCTTCTACATCTTTGAGTTTTGCCTCTAAGTGTATCTGGAAGCCAATCAAGAGTTTTAAGCAGGGGTGAGACATGGACCAGATTTGGGGTTTTAAATCTCTGGGGGCACTGGTGGAGGATGAGCTAGGGAGAACTCAGAGTGGGTGCTGAGAGAACAGAAGGCTCCAGGCGGGTGAGGTGGTGACGTAGTGTAAGGTGATGATGAGAACATGCTAGAGGGCTATTAGAAGATGAAACATCAGGGCTTGACGGATGGCATATGGGTGGTGGGTGAGGGAGACCAAGTTGCTGTGGATGGCTGGTGATGTTCTTGCTGGGGAGCGGGGGCAGGAGGGTACCCTTCTCTGACATGAGGACACTGCAGGAGGTTTTGTTTGGTAGATATGGTAGGCAGAATAACAGCCCAGCAGAGATGTCCGCATCTTTACTCCTGGGACCTGTGAATACCCTACGTGGGGTGGCCAATGGGGCTCTGCAGGTGTGACTAAAAGAAGTTTGAAATGGTAGAGTTTCCGAGATTATTATCCTGAGGGAAATGTCATCCAGCATCCTTATAAACGGGATACAGGCAAAGCTGAGCTCACAGCCCTGCTGGATCTGAACCGGAGGAAGGGGCCACGAACTCGCACATGCAGCCTGCCTCCAGTAATGGGAAAAGGCAAGGAGATGACTGTCCCCGAGAAGGGGAGAGCTCTGTCAACACCTTGATTTTAAGCCAGTGAAACTTATTTTGGACCTGTGACCTCAAGAACTGCAAGATAATAAATTTGTGTTGTTCTGAGCTATGAAGTTTACAGCAATTTGTTACCTATTGGCAATGGGGAAACAGGATCTCTGAGACCGAACCCCCTTTCCCTACTTCTATCTTTCTACCTGCAGTTTTCTTACTGCTTTCAGCAAACTCCCAGTGCTGGAGTTTATGCTGATCTTGTGCCTGGAGCGTGTTGTTTACTTCTGTGTTCGCTCTGCACAGGACTGTGGAGGTCACACTGTTCAATCTTCAATTTAGAGATACTTACAAAGCCTGGGATGTGGGGGTGGGAGGATGGCTTGCTCAAGGTCAGTCAATCATTGGGTGGTGCCCCTGGGTTAGAACTCAGGGCTCTGGACTCTTGAACCAAAGCTTTCTCTACCACCTTGCACAGAGCAGGTTCAGAACCGCCCCCTCTCCTGAAATAGTTCCAATGTCTACACCATTTGTGACTCCTGACCACAACCGGCAGGACTAGCTGAGCTCTCTCTCTCTTCTGCCTGCTACCCTCGGTCCTAGCTCCTGAGGGAAGCCCCCACTGGCTCTTCCCACCTGCCGGGGATGCCCAGGAGCCCAAAAGAGTGCTGGCCTCATGGTCACAGTGTGCGCCGCATTTGTTGCCATGACGCCTTGCTTGGGTGATTTGTTTGCCGGCATTGCATGGCTACAAACGCCCGTGCCCGGGATAAGTCTCCTCAGTTATTTAACCTAATAAGACCTCTTGATGCAATGAATGGTCTGGAGTATTTATTTGCCTCCCTTTCTGTTTCCTTGGAATTAAGGCAAAACAAAGGGATGTTTTCATAAATGCAAACCAAATACCTTCCCTCACATGGACAAACACATGAGTGTTGCCTGAGCTGCTGGTTAGCTCCTCTGTCAGCCCAATGGCCTGGGTCCCAGCAGTGACGTGGGGGAAGGGGCCTCCTACCTTGTGGTCCCGGGAAGGTAGCACAGCGTGTACCCAATCTCATGCGGCTTTGGAGTTGAAAAGGACAACATAAAGTCTGCTAATCCCATCCCCTGCGCTCGGGTGCATATGAGTTACAGAAAACAGGGAAGCCCAGTGTTGTACTAGTTGAGAACCCCTTCAGGGGCAAACGTTTCATACCCTTCCTTGAAAACACTCAGAGTTGACACTCGCCATTTCAAAGCCCCAGCCTGGAATCCCGAAAATGAGCCCAGTCCCTGCACTTGTCCACATGGCTGCAAACCTCGATGCAGGGACCCCTCCCGACCCCCAGTCCTACGGCCTCGCCCCCACCCACAATTACAGTGACTTCTGGGCTCATGCCGTAGAAGTGTCACATGACTCATTCGTGCAGGGCTCAGCTGGAATCACACCCGCCAAGAGCCGGAAACAGGGGAAAGGTG